CGGTCTCAAGTTGGGCTTTGCACTCTTCCAGCTCCTGGGACAGTTGGGTATCCTTTTCTGTAAGATCCTGCATAACAAATGATCCTTAAATCAGTTATTCTAACTGTTTCAAGTCTCGGGGGCTACTGACATATATAACCATCAAATTTTCTCACCCGTATGTCTTTTGCATACTGCTCTGTGGCTCTGGCTAGACCATTTCGAGCGGCACGGAGGTACGCATCTCCCGTATTGAAGGCATCCAATGCCTCTTGGGAGAAACAAGCGTCACGAAGAACTGTCTGGCGACGCCTGTGGTTCATGGCACTCTCCACCTCAGAATTGGTGGCAGACAGCCCGTCCGCATCCTCTGTCGGAGGAGCGTCCGGTGCACGCCTCGTGTTCGCCTCCGCTTCCGGACCCGGCCTTGGAGCCTGGCTGGTGGAGGCGCGATTGGCAACCTCTCCGGATATAGTCCGGCGAGCGCTCTTTTTCCCGAAGAGAGCATGAGCGTTTGTATGCCTTGAGGGAGTAAAACCTGGGAATAAAATGGCACGCCATACCGTTGCGCCGGCGTCTCAATCCGGACCGCACTTCTTTTCAGCCTGCTGGGCCTTGCTGCCCCTTGTTGGCTAGCCACCGCAGGCTCGGCCCTCCGCCTCAAGGACTTCCCCTGCAAAAACGACATTGGTATACGGTGATCAAAAATAAGCACGGATGGATCATCTTAAAAGTACTGGGACTTCGGTCTCGGTTATTTGTGAGGCTGGATGTAGTCCGGGATAATCGGCCGTAATGGCCACTAAGGTGTTGTTCTTGCTCAATTGATGAAACACCCCATCGATCAGCTCCACAGATAAGTCCGGGTCCTCTTGGGAGTCCGGGTCGAAGGACCGTTCCGGGTCCTCGGGTTGTGGAGGAGGGCTGTTTATCTCCTTTATAGCCTGGTGTAGCTCCTGCGTTGAAATTGCTAGACCGAATACTTAACTATGGGAATATGAAACGGATGGGCGAGTGAAAGTGTCCGCTTACCCAGCTTGGAGGATTGTACATAGAAAATCCGCCCCGTGGGTTGACGCGGAGGAATTCCTCCTCTTCTCCCTTGTACAAAGCGGACAAGATCTTTATTAGAGCGGTAACCGATTCCGGCCCCTTACGGCCGCACCGGGTGGCGTCGTCCTCCCCGTTGAAATCCCACATGGGGTGGCCTCTATACTGAAGCGGCTGCACCGCCCGCATAATGCATATGGCGATGACCTCAATCATGGTCAGTCCGGAATGAGCTAACAACCTTATCCGGCTCATTAGGTAAAGGACGTCCTTGTCATTTTCCTTCTGAGGGCTCCGTGGACGCCAGCTTAGGCGCTTCTTCAGAGGAGCATTATTGAACTCAGGGAGGCCGATCCGAACAGGGTCCGGCAGGGGAACATCTTCTATATAAAACCATTCTGAAGGCCAGTCTTCGGATGCTTTCTTCGGGGTTCCGGATAGATATCCGGTCCCGGCGATGTGCCATAGTTTGGCTCCGCCCACTTGATATATCGACCCCTCCTGAGAACGGGGCACAAGGCAGAACAACTTCTTCCACAACGCGAAATGAGCCTCGATGCCCAAAAACAGCTCGCAAAGGGCTACGAAGCCTGCAATATGCAATATGGAGGCAGGCCTAAGATTGTGCAACTGGAGGCCGTAGAACTCCAGGAGCCCCCGGAGAAATGGATGAATTGGAAATCCGAGCCCTCTTATCAAATAAGGGACAAGGCATACCCGCTCTCCTTTGGAGGGATTGGGGACGCTCTCCGCTTGCTCTCCACCATTATAGGTGGCAAGCCCGGCTCGAACCGGGACCATGTAGGCTGGAGGGAGAAACCCCTTGGCTTGGAGCGCCACTAGCTCGCTGTGCGGGACGGAGCATCTCTCCCAATCTCCAGGCTGAGGGCTGGGGGGCGAGAGGAGGAGCTGCGTCGACTGGCCATGATGGAATGGATCTCCGTCGAATGCGCTCCGATGAATGCTCGCGAAGGTAAGATGGTGTGCTACGGATCTAAATCCCCGTCTCTTTTATAGGCAGCTCATTTGCGCAGCTAGGGGGGTAAATGAAACAACACCCTGGCTTTTCGCATTCGTTTGACACGTGGAAGATGGCCATTATTGGGCGCAGAAGTCAAGGAGCGTAACATTCACCAGAAGCCGGACACTATTCAACAGGTATGTGGAATTTGGAGAAGAACCCGCCTTGCAATGCCGAAGACAAATCTGCCCGCCGGACTCATCATCATTGAAGCCTGGTTCGGGGGTTATTGAGGGAGTCCCGGATTAGGGGGTGCTCGGATAGCCGGACTATAACCTTTGGCCGGACTCCTGGACTATGAAGATACAAGATTGAAGACTTCGTCCCGTGTCCGGATGGGACTTTCCTTGGCGTGGAAGGCAAGCTTGGCGATACGGATATTTAGATCTCCTCCCATTGTAACCGACTCTGTGTAACCCTAGCCCTCTCCGGTGTCTATATAAACCGGAGGGTTTTAGTCCGTAGGACGAAAAACAATCATATCATAGGCTAGCTTCTAGGGTTTAGCCTCTCTGATCTCGTGGTAGATCTACTCTTGTATTACCCATATCATCAATATTAATCAAGCAGGAGTAGGGTTTTACCTCCATCGAGAGGGCCCGAACCTGGGTAAAAACATCGTGTCCCTTGTCTCCTGTTACCATCCGCCTAGACGCACAATTCGGGACACCCTACCCGAGATCCGCCGGTTTTGACACCGACACTCATATTGGCTCCTACATATTCTACGAAGATCTTTATCGGTCAAACCGCATAACAACATACGTTATTCCCTTTGTCATCGGTATGTTACTTGCCCGATATTCGATCGTCGGTATCATCAAACCTAGTTCAATCTCGTTACCGGCAAGTCTCTTTACTCGTTCCGTAATGCATCATCCCGTAACTAACTTATTAGTCACATTGCTTGCAAGGCTTATAGTGATGTGCATTACTGAGAGGGCCCAGAGATACCTCTCCGATACATGGAGTGACAAATCCAAATCTCGATTTATGCCAACTCAACAAACACCTTTGGAGACACCTGTAGAGCGTCTTTATAATCACCCAGTTACGTTATGACGTTTGATAGCACATAAGGTGTTCCTCCGGTATTCGGGAGTTGCATAATCTCATAGTCATATGAACATGTATAAGTCATGAAAAAAGCAATAGCAATAAAACTAAACGATCATTATGCTAAGCTAACGTATGGGTCTTGTCCATCACATCATTCTCTAATGATGTGATCTCGTTCATCAAATGACAACACATGTCTATGGTCAGGAAACATAACCATCTTTGATCAACGAGCTAGTCAAGTAGAGGCATACTAGGGACACTCTGTTTTGTCTATGTATTCACATATGTATCAAGTTTCCGGTTAATACAGTTCTAGCATGAATAATAGATATTGATCATGACATAAGAAAATATAAATAACAACTTTATTATTGCATCTAGGGCATATTTCCTTCAATCACTTGCTACCTTGTTGTTTTTATTTTCCGATTACAAAAACCTATATCTACCATCCATACTAAACTTGTATCACCGTTTCTTCGCCGAACTAGTGCACCCATACAATTTGCCATTGTATTGGGTGTGTTGGGGACGCAAGAGATTTCTTGTATTTTATTGCAGGGTTGTTTGAGAGAGACCTGTTCGTCCTACACCTCACAGGGATTGATAAATCTTAGGTCATCCACTTGAGGGAAAATTGCTACTATCCTACAAAACTCTGCACTTGGAGGCCCAACACGAGTCTATAAAAATAAGTTGTGTAGTAGACATCAAGCTCTTGTTGGCGCCGTTGCCAGGGAGGTGATTGCTTGAAGGTACTTCGTTAGTGCCCATTGCTCGTCGACGCACCGCCGGCGATGTCGCCTGCCCGCCCCGCCCGGTGTACAGCTCCAGCCGCTCCGCTCTTTCAAGTACGCGGCCCACCACCACTCTCTGCTCCGGAACTGGTACCCGGCCTCCGTTGGTTCCTCGTGCCCGTGCAAGCGCTGGCGCACACGAGGACGCCCGAGTCCAAGGCACAAGTAGCCCGGAGCGAGCGACAGTGGGCGAGGGAGAGGGCAGCGGCGGGCGAGGTGCTTACCGCGCGCTGATCGATCCTGAGGCCACGCTCCTCACAAGGGCAGAGACGATGCGCGGCGCCTCCGCCGCAAGAATACCAAGGCACTCTTACTAGCCATCAAGTTGCCGAAGCACGAGGCAAACAAGGAGGCGGCGGCTAAGACGAAGGCGGCCCACCATGCGAAGGAGCAGCCGCCTACTCCTTAGGCTTGCGGGCCAAAGGTGTAGCTCTAACTCCGACCTGACGGGCGGCTCCACCTCCACCTCCGACGACGCCTACATGGTGGAGGGGCACAGGCGTGCCGACGACCGGAAGGGGAAGGGACGGGCGAGGAAATGGTGATTTCCTCCGCCCTTCCCCGTTTATTTATGTTTTATTTTTGTTTTCCCTCCATCCAAAAATACTTATCATTGAAACGTATCTAGATGTATTTTAGTTCTACATACATCAATTTTCATCCATTTTGATGACAAGTAATTTCGGACGGAGGGAGTAGTATTGCATTTGCAGTGTCCGACAATGAACTAGTACGAACTATGGTCCTTTTGTCCGGCGGTGCAATGGTGATCCGGCATGTTGATGGTGCTTATACATAGCGTTGCACAGGTTTGGGGTTCGGATACGAGGGACGTGGATGAGGAGGAAGCTAAAATATGATGTGGCCTAATGATTTAGCAAAACCGTTTGAAGTTGGAAAGAGAGGGCGGAGACCGGTCAAATAGACCAAATTAATGGTATTTCCCGAAAGAGGCCTGTGTGTGTGTGGCAGTGGAGAAAGAGGGGCCTGTCCTCTACTCCTGTACTGGTTAAAGAGAGAGGAGAGGAGTCACTTCCTATTCGCCGGACCGGAAACTCTTTTTCTCCGGCCGCGTCTGCAGCTCCACCTCAATGGCGACCGCCACCAACCCTCATCTCGCGCCCCCGCCGCCGGATCTGGCAATAGGTAAACTACTACTTGTTCTTGCTTTCTTGCAGTATTTGCGACCCGCTGCCGTGGATCATCACCGGCCGCGAACACCGTTGCGCCATGGCCGAGCAGCGCGCGGCAAGGGGCTGCAGCCTGCAGGGTACGAGAGGCGAGGTTCAACATGTGACTGGCGGCGGGCCTTGGCAACATTGTCTCTTCTCGTTCTCGAACGCCGCCGCCGGCCGCCGGCGATTACCTAAAGTTGTCGTCTTTATTACGGCCCCGGTCATTAGCGATTTCTCGCGCCGGTCTCATGTGGTGGGAACCGGCGGCGATTTTCTCGCCTAAAGTTGTCGACTTTACGACCCCGGCCATTAGCAACTGCTCCGGCCTCGCCGCGCGCCGAGTTTGGACCGAGCATCATGTCAAATCGGCTGTCTGTCGTCTCGTCTACAGAGCAGTAAGGGGGCTTGAGCGTCATGTCAAATCGGCTGTCTGTCGTGAGCAGTAAGGGGGCTTGAGCTCCATGTCCAACAGTTTAGCTCTACTAGTGTTGTATTGCTACTTTTACGACTAGTATAAACTGGGTACTCTGCTCTCTCACGAGTGCAGAGGAGAAACACACTCACATCACTACAGTTTAGATGAAGGCGTCCATATAAAGATCAGTGGGATTATTTTTGGCATTATCTTGTTGAAATTGATTCAATTTCCTGCTACTAGGTCAGCAAATTTATCGTGAATTTTGACGTTGATTATATATGTTTGTTGTTATGTATGTATGTATGTATAAAATGAAGTAAAACTCTAGTAATACTGATGCCCCAAGATCTAAGTGCCCTTTGTTAATTTACTGCACTCTACTAGCTAGAACAGCTGAATGCTAAATTAACCAATTCACTTTGTTTTACTTTTACATTAGTTCAAGCCATTAAGGATTTTTATCGCAATTCGAGGACAATCAAAGAGAACATTATATTGGTAGGCTATGATGAGAAGCCTATGGATTTCGACAACAGTGAAATGAAGTTCCTCAAGTGCTCGTACAAAGTTGGCCCCAATCAATTCAACAGGTTTATCAAGAGGGGTGCTGCAAGTTCCAAGGATTGGGCTTCAGACTACCATTTTGTCAGAGCTTTGGCGCATCCTGCTGCTATCCAAGTTGAAAATTACGTCAAATCAGAGTGTGTGATCATCTCTGAAGTGGATGGGTCCTTCAGCAAATGGTTGAACAAGAGGGAACCCATAGAACTGTTCGCTGATGGCACCATGCTGCCCATCCTCAGAAATATGATCATGTACGTTTTGCTTTACACTCTGCAACATATATATGCCCTCTGTTTTTTCACACAGTTTTTAACTTTCTTCTTGTTGCCCTATGTAGCCAACTTGCAAGTCTGGTGGAAAGTATTCTTGCTAAGCGCAAGTATCCCCGAGGTACCATTGCAAAGGAAGAATTCTCAATGAAAGAGCTCTACATCAAGCTGCTTCCTGATAAGACACCTAAGCTGCAGGTGTTGATACTTAAGGGTAAGTCCTTAAAACAGAAAACTCCCTATATGCGTGGATGTTTGATACCTGAGTTCACTACATATTAAAATAAACATAAAAGTTTGGTTTTCAGGTTTTGAATAGATAGATATAGGATGACACAATTTGCTCATGTGCGCCTCGTTACGAAAAGTCATCGATTTATGTTTGAAACAACTCTAAGATGTAAACTTGAATATTTTGTGCTACGCAAAACAATTAAATTGGTGCGTGCGACCTAAACGATGGATAGTATGATAGCTATTCAAAACATGCGCATTTTGCTCTTTTTGTTAGCATACATATGTTCATTTTGATACTAGGCTTGCAGCAGCCTCTGTAACAAAGCTTTGCTGACATTGGCCTTTTGTAGGACACATATGGTCATGTTTTAGCACCAAATTGTGTACAAGTATATTTTTGTAGTATTGCCACAATCCATGTTTTTCTACAGTTCCTGCACAGTTCTTGTAGTAGAAAAGGTGTGGGGAAATTACTGGAGTAGATCCAAATAGGTGCAGATGTGCATTTTCCATGTGCAAGTACTGTAATTGGGTTTGTACAGGTAAATGTTAGTCCTGTGCGGAGAAAGACAAGGATGAACAGATAAAGCCAGTAACTACAAGTTGTTTGCAAACGACATAAACCTGTATATATTTGCACAAAAATTGGTAATGTGCATATAAATTGGGTTTGTTACAATGCAAAAGAAAAGAAAACCCATGTGGGTGCAGGGTTTGTTCAAGTGCCCTTTTTCTTAAAATATAGGAGTGTTGTGCAATGATACAAGTGCTAGCAAAGTTCATTTTGCTTTTTTTTTTTTGGTTTATTGTAGTTGAAAACAGGATTCCAGCTCAGGTGGTGAAGACTTGGACAACTGTAAGGGAGATTGCTACAGAGTGCTTTGAACGCCATAATGTCAATCCAAACCAGGGAAGTAGAGACTTCATCTCTTGTATTGGGATTCTGACAAAAAATGTCCAAGCTCTTTTGGAGGGCCACCCGGACCAGTGGGACAATACGAAGAAAGGTGGGTTTCTCATGGAATCCTACGCGTACTCCCAGCAAGTGTCTGGTAGGATCAACAAGTCTGAATTGAGGTGGCCTGTGGAAGATGATGGAAGAACTCCGTGGTTGCTGTCGCAGTTAATTCTTCGGGGTCGAGAGAAGAAGGTGATGTATGACAAGGACTTTCCGAATGACTATGTGAAACTATGCAGGCACAGCTACAAGCACTTCAAAAAATTGCCAAACAATATTAAGGTGAGCGAGCGATTTAAGTTGTTATTCATGTGTCTGTGCCTCTGTATTCATTTAAATTGAAATATTTACAGTGTTAACTACTCCCTCTGTAAAGAAATATAAGAGCATTTAGATCACTATTTTAGTGATCTAAACACTTATATTTCCTTACGGAGGGAGTATATACTATCCAAATGGTGAACAAAGTCCTCTTTAAGTTGAAGTAGGAGCTTGAGTGACAAGATATTGGATACTAATAATTCAGTTGGATGTTGTTTTGTTAAACGTACCTACAGGCTAGTCTTGGAGGGAGTACAGATGGACTGATACATCAGATTGAAGTTTGGTCGCCTCGTATCTGGCACATCTTATATGTGGCACTTCACAAGCCCGGGTCAGGATAGGTTGACATGTGTATTTGTGCTTGTTGGGCTGTCCAAGTCCATGTACTACTCTAGTGATTTAGACGCTAGCTCTTATATTTCTTTCCAGAGGGAGTACTTCAGTGACATGGCATGATCGCGGCACCATGATCGCGTTAATTAAGCCTCAAGTATGTATATTGTGCTGTATTCAGAGGTGCAGCGTTGTGGATACAAGGTTTAAAAAAACAGGGGCAAAAGATTTACCTCATGCATTAATTAAGCATCGCTGTATTTGGGTGTCTGTATTCGACGCCTACGTATTTTGAATTGGTTTGAGTTCCAATTCAGCGAGGAAACTGTCATAGACATGAATACGAATTTGGTCGTCTGGGTGTCAGTTGAGTTGGCTCACGGAATCCTACTCAGATTTCAGTACGGAATCATGTTTGGATGTCAAACTATGGAATTGCATGGCAACATTAGTATAGACATCAAACCACAAGTTATATAATGTGTGACTATATTTGGATGATTGTATGGCAACAAAATTCATCAAATATCATGGAAATCCAAGACAACATCACATAATATTGACGGAAAAAACAAATAAAAAATAGTTTACAGCAACAAAGCAGAACATGTATAGTTTAAATAGGTGTTCCATAGTTCCACATATAACTAGGATTAGCAAAATTTGCATAGAAAATTACAAAAACAGAGAACAAAGCTAATTGCTTGCTGGGAAGAGGATGAGAGGCAGGGAATGAGAGCTTGCATGCCCGACAAAGAGGAGCAGAGATAGTGAAGGGGAAGAAGAGGGGCGTTGGAGCATGGGAGGAGATGGGGTGCACACAAGGCAGATGAGGAGGGGCGTCGGAGCATGGGAGGGATGTCGGAGCTCGGGCAGAAGAGAAGGACTGGTCGGGGAGGCATAGTGGTGGCGGACGGCTGGGCCAAGGCCATGGCGGCCACGGGCAAAGAAGGGGGAGGAGTAGGGCCGGCAAGGTGGGCTACCGCACGGGAAGAGTGGAGGACCAGCGGGGCGGACGGCTGCCGGAGTACGGGAGGAGGAGGACGGCCGCGAGGGAAGCTACTTGGGCGTCGTCGTCGCTTCCCTGGGCGCTGCTTCTGTTTCCTCTCACATGGGTGAGGGTCATGCGGGCGAGGGAATAGATAGCATTGAATCGTTTTCTTTTGCGGGGGAGGCTGATTCCAGCGAAATCGGAGGGGCTAGCCTCTATATCATGGGAGGGCTCTTTCCATACAAGAGATTCAGCGCCTGTATCGAAAAGATTTCAGACTATTGTTTCCAGTTACAACCCAAACAGCTGAATCTGTATTTTTGGAATACCAAATCCATTACCAGGATCAAATACAGACATACAAACGGGGTGCAAGAGAGTTGGCTGGTTAATTAACGGAAAACCAGACTATAACTATCACAAACCAATAATCTGTGATTTCAGACTGCTAGGCTGTTTACATACATCATGTCTCGCTCTGTCATACAGTATGAGATAACAGCTCATTTCAGGCCAAAAGGACAACTCTAGTCTTTCCCTTACTCAGAACTCGAAGGGTCTTTCCCATAGAACAACTCCACCCTGCAAAGTGCGCGCACATAAGTTTCTGTTTTTTTTTTCCCCTTAATTCTCGGGATGCAACCTTATACTCTGACAATAAATAGAGTTATTAGCATACCTCTTTGTCCAACTTCAGCTTATCTGCTAAATCCAACTTCTTCTGAGCGTACTGTGCCATGTTCATTGCTTTATGCTGAACAAGAGAACCATATATATTAAAACGACAATCATGACCACATATAAATTTGTATAAAAACAACAATCATGACCACATATAAATTCATAGAGGATTTTTTTCTCAAAACAAAAAAAGAGGATTCATCAAGACAATACCATACTGAGAGATACCGTCATAAACACAACCCGAGCTTTATCCTCATCGGTCTACACAAAGGCCATATCAATATCAGCAACATATTGCAGCTAAATATGTATCACCATGTCAAATCTACAGTACCCTACTTACCTTCGCATCAATGCCACCCTCTCGGACAACGTAGTGCATCTGGAAAGATAAACAGATGAAATTAGACATTGGCAATATGTTTCATATTTCTTTTTGACAACATAAATTCACAGTATTGCAAGGAGAATTACCAGAATTCAGAAGGATGTGTATGCATGTCATAACACAGAATCGTTCTTGTCCAGTTAAGAGAAGAAAAAAAATCAGAACTAGTTTACTCAGCCAAGCATGCTTAGCATATGGAACACATGTTTCAGCACTTTTACTATATCATATTTCATGGCTAGTGAGGACTAGAATTGAAAAGTGAAGCATGAACCCGAGGAAAATTCATTATAGGGTAGTAAGCACTCAGATCATGCAACTAGACAGAAAAAAAGAGAAAATAACAGGCAATACAAATCTGCACAACAGCCCCAAATTAAGACATCAACTTACGTATTCTTTTATTGTTGCAATGACAGGAACCCCTTTCAGTTCACCATCTAGTCTCCTTTTGTGTACATCGAACTTGTCCATTTCATATACTTCCTTCACAGCTTCCATGTAACTTAACTGACATATTTGTGAAGCCGTAAGAACTACGAATAATCACAAAGCATGTCTATTACACAAATGTTTGATGTAGTAGGATAACAACATTTTTCTTAGCGACACGCCTCCAGATCTCAAAATAGAGAAGACCTATGTCCTTGAGGGAGGCATCCTTATCCATCTCAAGAATGTACTCCTGAATCAAATTGACCAGATTGTGAGTAATACCAGCGATCAACACCTCAATTAGCAAAAGACAAGATATCTTACATTATAAGCAAAAGCAGCTAAATGAACAGTCATATGAGGAATGCCAGTTGCAATCTTCAATGCTTGCCTCCATGCTCTAGTATCCTTGTCTATCCACTGAAGTGAAAAGAAGTTAATCATCATGTG